GGCTGGTTTGAAAGCACCACGGGGCATGCCAGCGGGTGTCGCTTCCTCATCAAAATGTATCGATGCTGCAGCTGAGCTGCTGCCTGGCCCCTGGGGAGGAGATGACAGCAGCGTGCCCGGCCGGCGGGCGGGGAGCTGCAGCTGCAGGTTGGCAGGAGAGGAGGGCTCGGGGCTACGAGGGGATGGTGGCGGGGCGCCAAGGCCCCGGGAGCTGGGCTGCAGCCAGTGCGTGTCTGTGGGGCGCTGGGCAGCCTGCCCGGCAGACCGGGGGTGGCGGGGAGCTGCTGCTCCAGGAGGGCGCGGGACCCGGGGTTAGGCTCCCCAGGGCTTGGCAGGAGGCCCCTCCCCCAGGGCCAGAAACAAAGGGATGGCTCCCAGCGTGGGATTGTGGGAGCCAGACAACGGTCCCCCGGCCGGGCTGGGGGCGTCCACGCTTGGGCCAGGGGCCCCGACACCTGGGGGAGGCTGCACCCAGGTGACGCGCGTCGCGGGCTGGGAGGCTGGCTGGCCCGTGCCCGCCTCTCCTCCGCGGAGCCGGCCACAGAGGCCGCGGGGTCCGCCGTGCGTCCTCGTCCCTGGATCTTCTGGGTGGCCTCTGCTTTCTCCTCGCTCTCCCCCGCCATGGTTGCCGCTTTCCCTCCTTCCGCCGGAGCCTTCGCGGGATTATTTCTCCTTTGACCTCGTCCCCAGCGCCCTGACAGCAGGCCCGTGCCCCCCCGCCGCAGGGCAGCTCCCCCCACCCAGAAGCCCGGGCCTCTGCACTCCCGGGCCGGCGTCCCCGCGCGTTCTTGCGGGCTTTGCCCCGATGCTGCGTCCGTCCGTCCGTCCGCCCGCCCGTCGCCTGCAGGAGAGCAAGCAGCTCGAGGCGGGAGGCGGGTGAGGAGGCGGCAGGCCCGGGCTCGAGCGGGTGAGGGGAGACTTCGCCAGGCGCCTCGCGCCCCCAGCTCTGTTGATGCTCTTTCCCGGCGCCCGCTGCGCTCTTCATAAACACGCGAGCGGCTGAGAAGCCCGCGGCCCCCGCGGGTGGCAGAGGGGATGGGAGCCCGGCGTCGGCTTGGGCACCGCTCCCCACAGGAAGTCAGCGCAGGAGCTTCTCCCTGCGGGCTGGTTCCGAGGGGACGTGAGCAGGCCGGCCGGTGCCCTGGAGCCCACGGGCGAGGCCGCCCACGGGTCTCCCGGGGCCCCTCACTTTGCCAGCCCTGAGGCGGCTGCCGCAGCAGAGACAACCTGTCTGCGTCTGTCCTCAGGGCCCTGCATCTGACAGGGAGCATGTAATTAAGCTGGCGGGCGGCAGCACCCTCCTCCTGGCCCGGGGGGCGCGGTGAGACACGGGGCGAAGGCAGGGCCGCCCCATCCCGATGGCCCCCCACACACGCCCGCCGAGCCCGGCCCGCGGCACCTGGCTAGAACCAGGAGACACTGTCTGAGGACCTCGGCTGCGAGGCGCTTTCTTGCCACTTAGTCCAGAATCTTCTCATGGACCATGTGGGGAAACATACGGTTCAGGCCGTTCCCTCGGCCCTCAGGAGACAGGGGTGCTTTCACCCCTGATGGAAGTTTCTGGAGGCCTTGGGCTCTGTTTTGCGCTGTTTCACCCTATTCCTCCCTCCCACTTCCAAAACACCGGTGTGGAAATACCCCTAATTTTTGTGTATTGAACAACTATGAGCACTTTGCCATGGTCACCCTCACCTTTCCTTACACACACACACACACACACTCAGGTTTGCTGAACCATTTGAAAGTCGCAGATACGCGACACTTCACTTTTGAAAGCCGCAGCAGGCATCCCCAAATGCCAAGCACGTCCCCTGCCCCTTCACTGTCACACCCACGACGTGACCCGCGGGGCGCCCGCCCTCAGCCCCCAGGCAGATTGAGGCCTCCCCCTTGCTCCGCAGCTTCTGATTTTGATTTTCCAGGATTCAAGGGTCCACGTGTTGCTTCGGGCACCGCGTCTTTGGGTCTCTTAGCCTACAACAGGCCCGTGTCCTCTGTGCCTTTCATCAGGCCAGTTCTTGGGTCGCGCCTCCCGCGGAGGACGTGACAGTGTCCCGTCCAGCCTGGGTGGAGGCTCTTGGCCGGGACGCTTGAGGACGGATGCACTCGCGCTGGGCCTGCCGCATCGCCTCAGGCCGTGAGTGACGCCAGGCGCCGCCCCTGCTGTCCACCACCCGGGGAAGGCCGTCTGCAGGTGGCCCCGTAGGGAGTCGCTTTCCCTTTGCTGGTTACTGCGTCGCCTGGGGGCAGGATGTGCGTCCCCCAAGGCCTCCCGCCCCATGTCCATCGATGACCCTTGCTTGGATCCAGGTTTCCTAAGTCTCGTTGCTCCTGCCTTGCTGGCCGGCATTTTTCTCTAAGCAAGTGTTTCCTTTCCACTCTTCTCTCTGTGTGTTTCTCCGAGTTTCACGACGTCCGCCTTGGCCTCATGGATTGCTCGTTCGCTGGGCGCACTGGCCTCCATGACTTCGTATGTTCTTGGATGCTCAGATTGTCCCAGGGTTGGCCTCAAGCTGTCCCTGCGTCCTTTGACATGACCCCATTAGTCTTTAATCACTAGCTTGCTGTCTTGCCCAGCGGAGAGTTCCTCGCTCGGCTTCTGCTTTCCCTTTCGTTTCCCTGGAAGTCTCGGTCCCTCTGCTGGGGACGGGGTATTTAGAAACCAAGAACTGGGTGCCGGGCCGCTCACCCAATGATTTTATCAATGACTTGATTAAAGGCCTAGGAGTGCTTATCAGGCTCCGCATTACACAAATCCGGGAGGGGAAGTCAGATATACGAGACTCATTATTCAGAATGCCCTGAACAGGGTGAAATCTGGAACAGAACCAACAGATTTAAGGAGATCAATACAAAGTTCTGCGCTTAGGTTGCAAAGTTAATTGTGTAGTTTCAGATTTGGGGGCTTCTTTAGTGGACAGAGTTGATATTAAAAAGTAGCTCTGGTTGTTAGTTGACAGGAGCCAGCAGTGCCCCAGGACTCGGGCTGTATTCACTCATTCACTCATTCATTCATTCATTCATTCATCTGCTCGGGCGCACAGCCAGCACTTCCCGAGGGCCTGCCTGTGCCAAGCCCTGCTGCAGAGACTTAGGGTATAAACAAACCAAACAAGTGAAAATCCCAGCCCTTCTTCGTGGACACTTGGGGGTGGGAGCTCAGACAACAAATAAAGAAAAATGCAGCAAGGAAGCAAATCATTAGAAGGCGAAGAGCGGTTTGAAAAGGGTATCTCGGGGGACGTTCAGATTCCTCGGGAAGGGGATGTTTGAGCAAAGGTCGGCAAGCAGCAGGGGCCTCCAGCCTGTGGTCCTCTGGGGCGCGAGGGAGGGGGTGCGCAAGCAGGACACAGGCCTTGCAGGTTGGCCGGGGCCGGGGGGGGGGGCAGTGGAGAGGTGACGGGATGGGGTGACCAGCGGAGGGTTCAGCGTTCACTCTGAGCAACAGCGGGCCCATTGCGGGGTTCGGGCCAGAGAAGCACCACGACCTGACTCAGGGTCTGAAAGACGTGCCCTGTTTGCTGCGTCAGGAACAGGGGGCAGGAAGCAAGGACGGACGCAAAGGTCCGGTTCGGAGGCCCTGGCGGTATCCAGGACAGGGGGGAGGGCTGACCGGCACCCCAGGAGGGCCAGGTGGTCAGATTACGGATTTGCCAGTGGACTGGATGTGGGGGTGAAAGGGGCCGCGGTCTCTCTCCCGAGCCACTTAGCCGGGCTTGCCGCTGGCGGGGCTGGGCAGCCGCACAGGTGGGGCTCGCCTCGGAGGACGGGGGTCAGGAGCTCAGTTTGGGCCGTGCTGGAGTTGAGATGCCCGTCACGCGGACAACCTGGCAGAAATGCCGAGGCCGTGGGGATCAGGACAGAGGTGCTCTGCGGACGGCAGCCGGGGCACCGCTGGCCAGAGGCGGATGGGCCCCGAGCCGGAGGGAGTGTCCGAGGCCTGGCAGTGCGGCACCTTGGCGCTGCCCACTTCCCCTGTGGGATTCTGTGTCTTCAGAGGGGCCGCGCGCCTGGCCCCCGCTAGGGAGCTGGTGGAGAGGCGGGACGGCACTGTCCGAGCCCCGGGGGCCAGCCCGTGGGGGAGGACGCGGCGGGCCGGGCGGGAGGAGGCCCAGGCGTGTCTCTGAGGAAAGGCGTTTGGCTGCGGCTGGAGGAGCGTCCCGGCTGCAGCCAGTGCCCGGAGAGGCTTCCCTCGGCCGCGCAGACACCAGCAGGGATTTTCAGCGCCCGGGACCGCGACCGGCTGGGAGCTGACCCGGCCGAGCGCCGCAGCCTGGGCCGCTGCCCCGGGGTCTCCCCCGGCGCCGGCCGCGTCCTTGCGCTGCCCGGGCTGCTGGGCCGGCTCCCCGCGCGCCCGCGGTGTCGGGGCCAGGGTGGGCGGGCGCGCCGGGGCTCGCCTCCTCTGAGGTCCCTTCGAGCCGATGACCCCCTCCCCCGCCCGAGGGGCTTCGTGGGCCGGGAGCCTCAGGCCGGACCCCCCAGGGGCCCCCGGTGCGCGCCGCCCAGCCCGGCCGGCCCGGCCCCGGCCCCGCACCCCTCCTGCACCCCTCGGCCGGGTCCCGGGCGGCGGGTTCGGGGCCGGCGCGGGCGGGGCGGGGCGGGGCGGGCCGGGGTCCCCCTCCTCCGCGGCCTCTGCGGCGCGCCCGCTCCCCGAGCTCGGCTTCTCGGGCCCGCGGCGCCGGGGCGCGGGGCGGGGGGGCCGGGGCGGGGGGGCGGGGGGACCGGGCGCGGGGGCGGGGCGCAGGGGCGGGGGGGCGGGGCGCAGGGGGGGCGGGGCGCAGGGGCGGGCGCACCCCGACCTCCTCGCGGCCCGCGCGCGTCTCCGTCCGGGCCGGGGTGCCGGGCGCCCCTGACCCCCGCTCTCCGCCAGGTCCCGCCCGCGCCGCCCGCCGAGGAGCCGCCGGAGCCGCCGAGCCGCCGCCATGGGCCGGGGGGGCCGCGCGCGCGCGGGGCCGCTGCTGGCGCCGCTGCTGGCGCTGCTGCTGCTGCTGCCGCCGCGCCCCGCCCGCGCGCCCGCGCCCCGGATCAGCCTGCCGCTGGGTGAGTGCGGGCCGGGGGGCGGGGGCCCGGGGGGCGGGGGGGGCGGGGGCCCGGGGGGCGGGGGAGGGGCCGGGGGGCCGGGGCCGGGCCGCGGCGACAAAGGGGGGGCGCGGGGCGCGAGGACCCCTCCTCCTTCCGAGCGCGCCGGCGCGGGGAGCGGGAGAAGGGCGGGGACCCCGACTTCCACTCTCCTCGGGGTGCGGAGAGGGGGTGCTCTCTCTTGCCCCTTTCTTCGGTCCTGGCCACGGCGGGCGCCTCGCGGCGTGCGCGCCCCCACCCGGCTGCCCCGGCGCCCCCGGCCATCGCGGCCTCAGTGCCCGGCAGGGCCCCCCGCGGGCTGCGCGGTATTCGGGGAGTCGCGACAGGACTCGCCGGCCCCCCGCCTCCCTCCCCCCCTGCACCCTGCTTCCGCGCAGACCCCGGCCCGGACATAATGGGGCACCCCCAGGCCTGGGGGACCCTCGTAGGGGTGGGGGCAGCCCTGGGAGCCGCTCCCGGCGGATGGACTCGGGGGAGGCGCCCCAGGTCTCCGCCTGCGCCCCGCGGCCCCCCAGGCCTCCTCCCTCCCGATGCCCCCCACCCCAGACGCTCCCGGGGAGCCCAGCTTCTGCCCGGCGCCTGCCCTTGGGAGACGCGGCCGGTGTCGGCGGCCCGGGAGGCTCCTGGCGGGACGCGCAGGTGCCGGGGCCGCCCCCCTGGCCGGGACTCGTCAGCGCCCGGCGTGGGCTGCGGTCCAGGTGCCTGAATCCGAGGTCACGGCAGACCCCTGCGCCGGGCTGCCCCGCCCCCATCCCGCCCGCGCACCTGTTCAGGAAGGCAGGGTGGGGGGGGGTCCGCGCTGACTTCAGGCTCCAGCCCCGCCGGTCCAGCTCGAGGCCTGGCTCAGGGCACCTCTGCCCTCGGGCCCTGTGACCTGGCCCAGCCGCTGGCCTCGGGCGCGCTTCTTCAGCAGCGAAGCGGGGGCAGGGCCGCACCCACCTCGGGCTGGGGAGTCCTCAAGCGTCCCTCAGACTTGGGCCTGGCTTGTAGGAACCGCTGCAGCCGTCATTACGGTCCCGAGCAAGCACCTGGGAGCTGTGCCTGGGCGGGGCGGTGCCGGGCCCGGGCACTGCTGGGGCGGGGGCAACGCTGGGGCGGGGGCAACGCTGGGGTGGCAGTTTGGCCACAGCCCCCAGGTGCTCCAGACAGTTCAGGGAGGACAAGCAGGTGCCTCCGGGCCGGGCCCTCCGCCTTGCTGCTGCTTCTGTGTGGCCACAGCTCCCTCTGCCCTTAGACCCTTGCCCTTTGCCCTCAGACCCTCCTGGATCTGGAGGAGGTGGCCGAGTGGCGATGAAGGAGGGGGACTCTGCGTAGGGCCCTGGGGAGGCCAGGCTAGGCCCCAGCCGGGTCAGAGCAGCACGTCTTGCGTCCAGCCCTAAAACTGAAGGGGGCCGCTCAGGGTGGCTGACGGCGGGGTCGGGAGCCCAGAGGGGGAGCCTGAGGCCTGGCATCCTGCGGGTCGTCGCCCGCCCAGCTCCGAGGCCGCGTCCACGCCTCCGTCACCCTTCCATGGAGACCGTGCAGTAGGCCCGTCTCTCACCAGCACCCCCGCCCCCATCACTGAAGCCACTGCCCTGGATACTTGTGGTCCCCCCCAATTTATATGTTAAACTCGCCCCCAAAAGACTAAGCCACTGGGTCACCCTTGGGGACCGCCAGTGTACCTGCGCCGCCCAGGGCTCGAGGGCCGCGGAGCTGCTGCGGGAAAGGCCCTTCCGCCATGTTCTTGGGGCTCAGCCCAGCGGGGACCACTTTTCCGAGGCCCCCCACTTTAGCGCACCCCAACACCCAAACCAGTGAGCACCCATCCACGCTTCACTGAGCAGGGGCCTCCGCCGCCTGCCCTGGGCTCTCTGCCGGGCCCTGTCCCGGCGCCCCAGAGGCAAACGCCCTGGTGACCGCTCGGGCTCCCCCGCCAAGCAGCCCCAGACGCTTCCTGCCTCCTCCCCGGGGGCTTGTTAGAAGTTCCTGGCAGCGCGCCTGTCCTGGGCAGGCCCCGGGGACGTGGGGCGCCAGGCACGAGAGCGCGGCGTGAGTGGGCGGCCACGTTCCCCTGCCCTGACCCTCCCAGCCCCACGGGCCGGCACCTGGGCAGGGGCCACGTCTGTGGGTTCAAGCCGTGTCCCTGGGCGGGGGGCATGCGTGTGCGTCGGGGTCCTGCCCCCGCACCCTCGTGGTTGCCGGTCAGCAGCAGATTCCTGGGGCCCCCAGAAGGACCCCACTGCGGCCTCAGCCAGCGGACAGGCGGGAGGGGAGGACTGGACAAGCAGAGGCCCGCCCCTGCAGGCCAGAGGGCAGGTGGACCCTTGCGCTGGGGACGTGCGGTCTGGGCCCGGCCCAGGGCCTGCGCCAGTCAGGGGCAGGGATGCCCAGGGGGATAGTGGTCCTCACGGTGCCCGGGCCTGGGGCCTGCTGCTCCCAGCCCGGCCATGTGGGAGAGCGGGAACAGACCTGCTCCTGTGGCGCCCGAAACTCTTACTGGGCCCCCTTATTTGGGCAATGAGAAGGAGCCATTCATCGCCCCCTGCCCCCGGGTGCCTGCTGGAGGGCTCTGGACACAGTGTTTCCCAACCAGATCGGAAGAAAGTGGCCTGCAAAGCGCGGCCAACAACACCCCATTGAGCAGGGAGAACAATCGAGTGTCCTCTGACCCCGCAGTGGGCACCCGGGTCCCGGCCGGCCTGAGAAGCCCCAACCCTCCTGGCATGGCCCTGGCGCTGGGCCTCCCCAGCCCGGAGGAGCGCGCAGTCCTGTGGGGGATGAAGGCTGCCTGGCTGACCGCCCCTCGGCAAGGTCCTGCCCCTGCGCCGGGCTCACGCCGGCTGATAGGCCAGGCTGGCGGGCCCAGCTCCTGGCCTGGGGGGGTACGCGAGCTCCCCTGCGTGGAGCGTTGGCGCTGCGCCTGGCCCGCACCCCGGCCTCAGTAGCAGTCGCGCCTCCTGTTGGCTGGTGGGAATGGCCTGCCCCCCTGACGGGGGAGGTTGTTGCATCTCTTCGGTGGACTCGGCCTGAGCGGGCATGGCAGGTACCCCGAGCAGGGGGTGGGGCGCTGCGTCCCCCTCGAGCCCTGCCCTGGGCAGAAGGCAAAGCAAGGGCGGAGGGCTCGTCCCCGAGTCGGGCCGCCTCTCGCGGGCTCCCGGGGCAGTCCTTTCAGAGTCCACCTTTGGCCTCGGACCTGTCTGCCTGGAGCTGGACCCCACCTCTCGCTCCCCCTGCCTCTCGCTGCTCCCACCCTGCCCTCTGCATAACCCGCATTCGGGGTGCTGAAAGGCAAGTGCCAGCCCGAAGCTTCAGGTGTGCACAGTGGGGCACACACTGGCTGCAGCTGCACATCCACCCTCAAGACAAGGGCGCTGGAGCAGCCGGCCGGGCCAGTGGTCACTCCTTCCTGTGTCCCCTTACTAGGACGATGACACCCTATGTCCCCGGGGCGCCCTGGGGGTGAGGGCAAGAGGAGTGACAAAACTTGAGACCACCCTTAGCAGCCGGCCCTCCCTGCTGCCCCCTGCGCTGGCCCCCTGGGCAGGCGGTGCTCCATGCCGGGAGCAGTGACAGGTACCCAGGGTCCCTCAAGGCCCCGCTGCAGCTCCCGCCGCCCCAAGGCCACGGTCTCCCCTCTGCTCCTAGTCCTGGGATCCCTGCGTCACCCCAGAGCTGCCAGCCCTGTGTGGGCAGGAGCTTTTGGGTGGCACGGCCGTGTCCCCGTGCACCCCAACGGGTGAGGGATAGCTCTGGGGCCACTTGGGCCAGGCTTTTAGTTTCTTGTCTCCACTAATCCCAGAGGACGAATCACCCCATTTTACAGATAAGGCAGCTGAGGTCCAGAGGGGCTGCCCAAGTCCGCTCGGGGCTGGCCTGGCTCCCTGCCCACCCTCTGCTCCTGGGTCCAGCTGAGAAGCTGGTCCTGACAGCTGGTGGGGGGGGGGTGGCTGGGGGGAGGGGCTGCGACCAGGGGTTCCAGCAGGGACAGTAGATGGAAACCTTCCGCTTAGTCCCGACCCCTGAGTGCGCTGCCTCGTGGCCTCTGTTTTGCCCTCCCCTTGCCATCTTCAGAGGTGGCACAGGAAGAGGGAAGGCGGCCGCCAGGAGGCTCCCCCGCCAGACAGGTGTGTGCTGGACGTGGAGGGTCCCGGTGCCCCGAGAGGGTCCTGGAGAGGGTTTGCATCCTGCTTCGCCTGTGAAATTTGCAGAGGCAACTAAACACCCAGCTCTGCGCTCGAATGATCAGGCTGCGCACCTCCGCTAGCAGAGGAATCCCCGGGGTCATCCCCGGTCGGACTCAGAGCCAGCTGGGCCCCCGAGGGGTGGCCTCGGTGCAGGTCGGGTGGCCCCTACGGGCTCGGCCCGGGTCCCCGGGAGACGGGGGTAGCGTCGCAGCCGGAGCTTTGCCGAGGGGGCGCAGCAGGCAGAGGCCGCCCGCAGACAGATCCCGCTTGACCTCTGAGCGCTGTGGAGAATAGGTCACTCGTCGCTGATGTTTAGAACTCGGGAATTTCGTATGAAACCCGGAGCTCCGGCTGTTCTGCAGACAGGGCAAGGCTGGCTGCGTCCGGGGCATCGGGGCAGAGCAGAGGCTCCCCCTGCAAGGGGTGCGGGCGGCACTTGCTGGCAGGGGGAGTGGGCCCTGGGCAGGGCTCATCCTGACCGCCGGCCACCCGTGCGCTGCCCGCGTTTGGCCTCCCCCCGGGCAGCAGGCTGAGCAGCGTGGGGAGGCAGGACTCTTGAGTGGCCCGTCCAGCTCTTTGACACCTCTCATCCCTGCTGCCCTTTCAACCTTCACGCAGGGTCTGGACCCTGGAAGTCCAGGGCCAGGCTCAGGCTTGAGCGGATGGAGTGGGGGAGATGCGTCGCCGAATCTGATGCCATGAGCTGTCAAGGTCTCCAGGCTGCCCTCTTGAGGTGGGGCCCCCTCCCTGAAGCAGAGCGCCCAAAATAAGGATTTCATTCTGTTACTCTTTCAA